TCTGCCTTTCACGTTCCACATTTTATGTTGTAATGTAGTCCTACAAAAAAAAGCATTGATTCACCTGCATGCAGATTGTTGCTAGATTCTGCCCATAATTCCCATCCTCTTCACTGTTATCTCTACCAGATTTCCACCTTCACCTCTGCCTCCTTTTATATAATTAGAAAGAAGTCCCTTTTTGATTCTTTTCACTCTGTATAGTGTCCTTGCCTACTGCATTTTATTCATACCTCTTGTATTTCTGTTGTTTGGGGTGTTTGAGAGGCAAATAATCTCTTCATTTCTAGTTTTCATTCTAAAAATGTTTTGAACTCTTCTATAATGTTGAACATCCATCTTTTGTCCTGTATATTTAAGCTCAGATTTGCAGGATAGGTCACGTCTTGAGTTCCATTGCTCTTCAGAACACATTATTCCATTCTCTCCTAGGTTTTCTAGGAGAGAATTTATGGAATAAAACAAACATTTCCATAATGTAGTATAATTTAAAAAAAAGATGATTATACATGAAACTGCTAATTTACTATGTACAACTTGCTATTCCTTTTAAATATATAAAAAATTATCATGTAAATTTCTTTATTTTTCTTTTTTTCCTTTTTTTCTTCCCTCCTCCTCCCACCTTAGAGATGGCTACCATTAGACACAAATATACATACATACATACATACATACATACATACATACATACATACATGCATTTCTGTCTATCTATGTACACACATACTTTTATTTATAAGTTCTTTCTCTGGATGCAAATAAAATCTTTCTTCATATGTCCTTTATAGTTAAGTTGGGTATTTATAATAGTCAAAATGACATTCACTGAAAGTCATTCTCAAAATAACATTGCTGTTACTCTATGCAATGTTCTTTTGGTTCTGCTCATTTCACTCTTCATGATTGTGTGCAAGTCTTTCCATGTTTCTCCAAGATCGTTGAGCTCATCATTTCTTATAGCACAGCAGTATTCCATAACAATCACATACCATAACTTGTTTAGCCATTCCCTAATTGACAGTCATCCTCTCAATTTCCAGTTCTTTACTACCACCAGGAGAGCTGCTATAAATATTTTAAAACATATAGGTTCTTTTCCTTTTTCCCTAATCATCTTTGGAAATAGAACTAGTAATGGACTTTTGTGTGGTCAGAACTGGCCCCAGCTGGATGCTGTACTCTTTCCCTCTGACTTGGTGGAGTGCTGCATGTTCTCCCCTCCTCCCCCAACATACATAGTGTTCTGTCCTGGCAACCTGTCCCATTCAGTTCTCTGGTTCAGCACCAGCAGTTTAGAGCTTTGCAGTTAGTGTTTCCAGGTTGCTGGCCCTGGTGGGCTTTTGTTTCTGAAGGACTATGGCCAAGATGGCTGTTGAGATCCAAGCAAATTTCCATAGCCTAGGGTGTCCATGGCACTGGAGAGGTGGAGAGGGAGTTCAGGATGTAGTGGTGGGTTTGGTTATAAGCCTGTGTCATATTCTTGGTTCTGCTAGTGCAGCCTCAGTGCCAGTAGTGCAGGAGGTAAGGGAAGGGTGCTGAGTGAGTTTCAGGGTCAATAAGTGTCAGTTCACGGTCATTGTTTTTTTCTAATCTTCTTTTGGATTCAAGATGTCTTAGACTATGGAGACAAGTGAAGTTGCTTTATCTTTGGTACCACTGTTTTTTAGAGGAGTTTGAAATGTGGGGACAGAGAAAATGTCTAATCCTCCATCTTGTTGCTCAGAACACCAATAATCTCTTAGTTGCTAAGCTAGATGGTCCTTTTGGTCCCTGATATCAACCCATCTACAGCATTTGACACTGTTGATCACCCTTTCCTCCTGGACACACTCTTTTCTCTGAGTCTTCTTGATATGACTCTTCCTTGGTTTGCTTCCAGCCTCTGACTACTTCTTCTGCTGGCTCATTATCCCTATCACCTCCATTTAGTATGAACGTTTCCCCAGCTTCTGTCCTGGTCCATCCATTCATCTCCTCCCTTTATACTCTTTCTCCTCCTAACCTCATTAGATCCCATTAGAATCTCAGCTATTATCACTATCCATGTGACTCCTAGGTCTATTTATCCAATCCTAATCTCTTCCTTGAGCTTCAGTCCAGCACTACCAGTTGCCTATTTGACAATTCAAACTGGTTGTTTCCAGAACCTCTTAAATTCAACATTTCTAAAGCTGAAGTCTTGATCTTTCCCCCTGAACCCTCCCCTCTTCCAAACTTCCCTCTTTCTATTGAAGGCACCACCATCCTTCTAATCACTGAGCTTTATAACCTCAACATTATTCTGCACTCCTTACTCTCCCTGACCTTACACGTTCAATTAGTTGCCAGTTATTATCATTTCTATCATTACAACATCTCTTATACAACTCCTTCTCTCCACTCACACCACTACTATTTTAGTTTAGGCCTTCATCACCTCTCACCTAAAGCCACGTAATTGCTCTCTTGGCTTCAAACGTCTTCCCACTCTAATCTGTTCCTGCCAATGTAACTTTCCTTAAGCATGGCTCTGACCATATGACTCTCCTACTCTATCAGCCACAGTGGCTTCCTATTGCTTGTAGGATCAACAATGAAATTCTCCATTTAGCTTTTTTAGCCTTCTGTACATATCCTGGCTCCCTCTTATCTTTCTAGCCTCATTTGATATTACTCCCCATTCTGCACTCTACAATCCCCCTAAACTGGCTTCCTCTCTGTCCTTCTCCCAGTGATATACTTTTGCATTAGTTATACCCCAGGCCTGGAATGCACTCCTTCTTTCCTTCTGCATCATAGAATTCTTCTCTTCTTTTAAGATGCAGGTCAAGTACCATCTTCTGAATGAAATCTTCCCCAACATTCCCAATTCCTAAACAACCTTGAATTAATGAATTTATATTTGTTAACTTTATATTTATGCTGTGTGCATTAGTATGTGTACTTGTCTTCCTCATTAGAAAATAAGTTCATTGCAAGTAGGGATTGTTTTTTTTTGTACTTTTATCCCTAAGACCTAGCATACTGTACAGCACATAGTAGATGCCTATTAATACTCATTGATTATATAATCCAAAATTGGAATTTGGCAAGATGCGATTGGCAATAGGACACGAGGGTGATGGACTCAAGGGCAGAAGACATTGCAGAATTGAGTTGGTACTCCAAGTTGAGCTAGAGGATGAAGGAGAATGGAGCCAGAGCATGGGGCAAAGGCTTGAGAAAACTCAAACTTGGAGGGAAAGGGAGTCATGGTGAGGATGAAAAGCAGGCACTCCTAGTGGATCCCACCTCCCTTTTTCACATGTCCCCAATACCAGCATGCCAGGGCCTCTATTTTCCCTCCACGAGATGATGGTCTATTTTGTTCTTCTTATTACAGTACAATAAAGCCTAATTTCTATTCAGCTCTCAGACCAGGGCCAGACACTTCCATTTCAGCGGCCTCCTTGGAATGGAAAAGTTGATAAACCTTGTAGAATTTATTCTAGTAGCTCACTAAGGGTATATCTGAACCACAAGAAGAAAGTTATTGCTCCCAAAATAATATTTCAGTGACTGAAATTTTGGATGTGGGTAGTTATATATTGGTGAAATTTCTATGCAAGTTGGTTGGAATGGCTTGTGATGAGTGGTATGTAAATGAGACTGAGTATGAAAAAGAGGTCCAAGGGAGATAAGTGAGGAAGACTGAATTCTCTCCTGGTCTAGCTAGAAATGGACCAGATCACAGGCAAGACTAAAGATAAGCAACCTAGACTGTGGGCATTACATAAGAGAGCTGTAGAGTTCTAATTTTTTGTTTCTCTTAGTCTTTTTATCTTTTTTATTTCCAGTGCCTGGTATGTAATAGGTTCTTAATAAATGTTTGGTGGGTGCCAAGCATTGATTGATGGTAGAATGAATAACATTTAATATATTTAATAGGTGCATATAGTGTGTGTGTGTGTGTGTGTGTGTGTGTGTGTGTGTGTGTGTGTTTTGTTTTTTGGTGTGAGGGGGGAGATGATGAATTTAATTTTAGACATTGTAAATTCAATATCCTATTGATGTTTTTCCAGGCAGATGGAAATGAGGGACTGGAGTTTAGGGGAGACATCTGGGCTACACATCTAGATCTGACAGTCATGTGCATAGAGATGATAATGGAAGTTATGTGAAGGGATGAAAGCATTGTTTGTTGTTTTATCTTGTCTGACTCATCCTGACCCCACTTGGGGTTTTCTTGACAAAGATACTAGAGTAGTTTTCCATTTCCTTCTCCAGCTCATTTTACAGTTGAGGAAACTGAGGCAAGTAGGGGTTAAGTGTCACACAGCTAAGATGTATCTGAGGCCAGATTTGAACCCAATGAATCTTCCTGACTCCAGAGCTGGCACTCTATCCACTGCACCACCTAGCTGCCCTCAATAAAACCATAGGATCATCGATTTAAGAGTTGGAAGGAACCTTTGGAGTCGAATCCAACTTCATCATTTACTGAGGCAGACAAAGGGTGATTTATGCAGGGTCGCACAGCAATCAAGTGTGGGAAGTCCCATTTGAACTAGGGTCCTCCTGACTCCCTGGTGCTCCATCCACTGTGTCATTTAGCTGCTTCGTGTACAGACTACCTTACATCTCAAGAAGTCATGCAGCATTCATCAAGGGCCTGCTGTGATGGCTACTGGAGGAGAAGCCCAAAGATTCAGATTATTATTATTAGAGAATGAATGGATCAGGTAGCTCTTTAGAAGAGTCTTAGGAGAGCTGGCCACTTGGCTCAAGTTTCACTATTACAACCACAAATCTACTCCCACGAGGGAAAGGCTAACTGGCCACAGAATTCATCCCTTCAGGAGCCACATTCCAAGGGTATCACCACAACACATGCTCCTTTGACTTAATAAACAAGGAATTTTTCATGTAACAGCTGATGACAACAGTCCATTCTTCCAATGATTTCCTTCCGAATTGAGAGGTTGGAGTTCTGTTAACAATGAAACCATGTGTAATTATGGGAAGAGGTTTTGCTGAAATGTTATAAATATTTATTAAGTGCTTACAGCGGGGACAGAACCGTGCTAGATGTCATCAGGGGATATACAAAGTTTAGAAGAGGACACAGTGCCTGCCCTTAGGGGGCTTACAGTCTGACAGAGGGATGATACAAACAAATAATTATAGTTTACAACATTGTATGATGAGCACTCTTAAAAAGTGTAAAACTGAGCATTCTCTGAAGTCAGAGGGGAAAGGTCATTGCCAGTGGTGAGGAGAATTAGAAGCTATCTTGGGGGGAAGTAGCAAAGGCTAGAAAGATGGGTAGGGGCCAGGATGTGTAGGAATTTAACAGGGCAAGAGGGGGAGAATGAAATGAACACACAAAGGAGAAGGTTTACATTCGAGAATAGGTATTTAATTTGCATATAGGCACAGTCTGTACCCCATAAGTCAATAAGCCTTAGTACACGAAGCAAAAACCTTCTGTCAAAATGTCAAGTATATATCAGATGTCAGAGGAGACATAATGCGCCTGGATATTAATAGTGTGCTTTCCAAGAGACACAAACTTTTTTTTTATCTAATGAACTACACATTCAAATCCATTGTAAAAGGGACCAAGGAGGGTGGTAGAATGATAAAATGCAAATGGTGCATATAAAAGTTCAATATAATTAATTTTCCTTGAGAGGATCAAATATGACAAATTCCTGCTTTGAGGTTGGACAGCTATGTCATACTACACGGTGACAGAAAGGACAAACAACATTCATAAATGATCCATCTGGTTATACTTTTAAAAAAAGAAAAAAACCAGATAACTGGTTTCTTGTTCAGTTCCACTCTGCTTTGGTTACAGGCCTTTGGTGACCTTTAATAAATGAAACTGTGATTGATTTCTGAACTGAAGAATGTTTGAATTAGTGTTTTATTTCGTACCAGGATGCAAGGTTCAACCAATATGTTCAAATGCTAATACTCACAATCATAGCATAAACTGTCACTTCAGCAATTTGTCTTCTTATTTGAGTCTAGATGGAAGGATAATTCATGACTTTGCTAATTGTTCTTCCCTGTTATGGACATCAGCCAGGATTCTTCTCTTCAGCTGTAACAGATTTCTATTTTTTTAAAAACATATTTCAACACTGAATAATTTCATATGGTAACATTTGCCATCAAAACAACTTTTATGTAACTAGTGTGTTGTTTTCCTGTTTAAGGCTAAACAGAAGAATAATTCATGACTTTGCTCATTGTTTTTACCTGTTATAGACATTAGCCAGGTTTTTTCTGCTTGGTTACAACAGCGCTCCATCCTTATAACCTATTTCGATAGAGTTGCAAAAATGATTAGATTACTGAGGTTGGATATATATGTATGCATACATACATCCCATATGTGACACATACATATATGCATATTATATGTGTATACATATATATATACATACACAATACACTTTATAATCACAGAAGAGATTTATTTGGTGATAGTAGGCCAACTTAGGCCAGATAAAAATCAAATAAAACCTTTATTTTGTAAAGAGTACGTTTATTTTGATCAATTTAGAAATGAAACCTATTTGAAAACTGTTTATCATAAAGTAGAAGAAATTACTCCTCAGAATTTTGAAAATTTCTAAAATCTTATCCAGCCAAGATTTTGTTTTATATAATTTAGTGACGGCTTTATGTGAAAAGGAGATAAGTATGTTCACTATACAAAACCAAACTGGATAATATTTTGTCTATTCCAAATTATTCAAAATAGAACAGTTTAGTTTTCTTTTAATAATAACTTTCAATTTTACAGAAATTCACCAAATAACAACCAGATGCTTTGTTGAATGGTGACTGAATAAAATTGTCCTCCAGCAATTCTAAGTAACCAAACTGAGTTATTTCACTGAAATACTAAGGGAAGGTGACAGTACTCTACTTCATGCCTTTTTATGTCAAAGAACATATCTGCTTTAGCAAGAGATGTGGCTCTGTGGTGAAACTGGATGTCTTATTTCATATCCAAAGGTATCCCTTAAATATAATCTCATGGCAATTGTGGGTATTTAGGTGGAAGCATGAGACTAGAGTTTGATTTCTGTCCATGTAATATATATTTTCCCTATATAGGCATTTGTAGTTTGGATCAAAAATATTTGTACATTTTTTTTTAATGTCTTCTATTTGGAAGTGAAGTGACAGTCCATACAATCAGAAACCAAAAGTGGTCCCACATCCTGATGGGATGGTCTATCCAAAGGGCTTAAGGGATATAAGTGTCAATCTATCTCACAGCTTACAAAGTTTCAGAAATGCCACAGAAATATGACAAGAACATAACAAGATGGTCCCAGTTTGGTCACTTAATGAAGGTATTATAAAGCATTCATTATATATGTCCTCTATTTCAGTTGGCTTCAAAATGGAGAAGAAAATCTTCAGGAACCTGTCTGAGGACACATTTCCTTTTCAGTGCACTCACAGCACTCTTGTTCAGATGTGGGGCACATCACATGAGGTGCATAACTGTGTAAGTATGATGTTGCACCCCATTTATTCCCTCACACAGCTCTTGCCCATCTTACCAGAACAGGGATTCCTAATTCACAGTATGTGAACTTTAAAAATAATTTTTATAACTATTTCATTGTAATTGTTTTCCTTTGTATTTTATGCATTTAAAAACATGATTCCGAGAGGGATCCATAGGCCCTACCAGGCTGTCATGGGGATCGATGACACAAGAAAAGGCTAAGAACCCCTCGGCTAGTGGACGTGAGCCAAACATGGAAAGGGAGAATGTAGTCAGCAATGGCACCAGCCTGGCCTGTGCAGATTCAGCAGATGCTACAATGTAAAAAAGCTTTTGGAAAGCAGCTACTGAATCACTGCATCCCTTTTACCTGCTTTGTAGGGTGGAAAGAATAGGACTGACCACTTAAGAGACTCCTGCTTCCTGTTTTTCTGTAATAATATGTATTTAACATGGTTAGAAAGGATGTGTATGGATACTGATTCATTTGGAACAGAGAACTAAAATGTGTCCAAATTTGCAATTCAGATGTAGATGTGAAATCGGGAGAAAAATGTGATGGGCACACAGTCAGTCCTTCCCTCACTGCTGGAGGCTCTCTGGCACTGCAGGGCAGAACTGACAGCTTACAGCCTGTCCTCCCATTCCATCATTATTTAGCCAGTAACTCAAGGATATGCCAGCCTCTATTTCATATTCTCATATGCTCAGTTTTATCCTTTTTTTATTTTTTTATTTTTGCAAGCAGCAAGAGTAGGTTTCTAGCCAAAAAAGGAGCAATCTGTTTTTTTTTCCTTCTCTACTGCAGACTTTGTGGTATTGTATGCAGCTGTCAGTTGTTAATTTCAAATTCTATATTATGCACAATTGATAAATGAACTATACAGTTGTGTGTTATTATGATCCAAAGAACGCCATGCTTCTTATCATGCATCAGGATGCGTTAGCCTCTTATTTCATACTATAAAGGACAAGCAATTTTTTTTTCTTTAAAGAAAAATAGAATATCTGTAAATGACCCTTCTCAGGTATAATGTCATCGTGCTAGTTAATTCAGAATTACTGAAGATGCTCCTGGAAAGGTCTTCAAAGATTGTAAATTGAGCTGCTAGTACTTATTTGATGTTTTGTTATGCAGTTATTTACAGAAATGGCCCTTGAGGTACAGAAAACGTGATGACATTCACTGCCACAAAAGGTGCATCCTCAATGGTAGCCCTTCCACTGGTCTTAAGAGACTGTGAGTGGAATTTATTGGACAGCTGTTAGCTCTAGTAACATAATTAAAGTGCAAATAAAGAGGAAAAAATCAAGCCCGAAAGATCAATTCTTCATTGTCAGCATTAATAAGTTTCTCAACTCTTAGAGATAAAGTCAGATGCAAAAGGCTAGGGTAACAACATCTTTCTCACTTTCTTTCCCTTTCCTTTGTAATTAAATGCAACAGCTGTCTCCCTAAAAAAAGAAGGGAGATAAATGATAACAAAGCCCCATTTCTTCACTAGCTGATAGTTTGGGGAAAGGTAATCTTAGCTATAACCTACATGACTTTCCCTATGGGCAAGAGGGATGCCTGGTGGGGCCTGTTACCCTAAATTCCCCTGCAGCTACTATAGGCCAAATACTGGAGGACTAGAAGTGTTGCATGCCCAGAGGGGATTCGACCTGCCATCATGCGGTAACACAGGGCTTTAAAAATATTACTCACAAGACCTTTTCTGGTCATATATCATAATCTTGGATCCACAAACAGTGTCCCTACCAGAACAGAATCCCAACATTAACCCCAGGAAATTACCAGGGTAGAAATACAGAAAACAAGCAGAGTTGATATTGAGCAAAGATGTGTTGTTTAAAGCAAATATTTGCATTAAAAAGTTTTAACATACCATTCCTGCAGTCTTCATTGTAGGAACTTATTGCCTTTTAGGCTTGATTAGCAGCTCCCCTAGTGGGGTTATGGGGCAAAGGAGGAAAGGAAGAGATCTCAGGGTGACAGTAGTCAAGGGCAGGGGTCTGAACTGACAGTAAAATCAGCCAGCAGCCAGAGCCCCTGATCCCAGAGAAGTCAAGCAGATGCCTGGGACTCAGGATAGTCCCTACTTTTATCTACCTGGGACCTGACCACTCCACAAAGAGAGAGTGGATGCTAAAGAAATGCACTGGACTTCCGCTTCTAGTGAGCAGCTCTCTGGGTCTAAGGGAAACTTATCTATAAAGTCAAGTTTATTTCACTTTTGTCCCCTGTGCTCCCCACCCCCACCTTTGTCATCTTGTATAGCTGCCCAAAGACTGAAAAGATGAATTCAGAACATTAGATTACTTAAAGATACATATTGATCCATACATTTGAAACAATGCACATGCTATGAAGCAGAAACAGTTTAGGGGCTGGGCAGCTCATACCCAAGGTGACTACATTTTGCTGTGAAGCTCTTACTGATTTGAAACTGAATGTAATGAAAGCATATATATCCTAAAGTTGGATTGGTAGATGTTTCCTGTTAAGTAACATGCCAGAGAAACATCATTATCACCATCATCATCTCTCTCTCTCTTTCTCTCTCTTTCTCTGCTCACATGCTCTTAATGGAACATGGTACAGTCAGATTTACCTCCTTGGCTATCCCCACGAAATTAGCAACCGCCACTCAGTGTGACGAAGGCCTTCTTTCTCTACTCCGGCCTTCCTTTAAAAAGAGGCAAATACTGCTCTAGCTTTGCAAAGTGACAACTTTGCCAGCCTCCTGCCCGAGTCTGAAGCATCGGCCTTGTACCCTAAACAGCTCTGTTCTCCTGGCTTGAGACAGAATTTCTGGAAGCCTCAGTTTTTGTCAGAGGAGAATGGAGCTTGAAATCCCATCCCTTCCCCACCCATTGTGCAGGTGTGGCAGGCACAGTTCGGTCTCTTCATGTGGACACTTTCCATAGATTCAGGGGCAAAGCGGGCTCTTCAGGCAGGAAGTCGAGGTTCAATCTTTAGTGACAGCTCATACAGCGTATCCTCATCTATGATGAGAGTTTTGTCCAGCAAGTACTGAGTGACCTGCGGTGAGGAGGGGAAACCCAGAACACATTTACTCAAATACTTGGAGAAACCAAATCTTTTTTTGAAAATCTAGTCCTTTCCTTCAGAATTGACTCAGTTTCTGAACTTGACCTTAGCAGCACCTTTGCCCCCGGCAGGTACGCCCCTTTTCTTCCCCCACTTTCTTTTTCTCTTTTATGCATTGTCTTTCCTCATTAGAATATAAGCCCCTTGAGGTCTTGTTTGTCTGTATTTCAGTCTTTCTCAGTAAAAACCTTTTAATTTGTACCTCATTCCTTTTGGTGAAAATTTGGAAGCTCACCAGCTATAGAAATCAGCTAAAAGAAATTCTCTCTTATATTAATAACCAACTGTTGCATTAGGACCAAGGTTTTCCCCCTTTTCTACTTCCTCAGTCAGAAATCAGCCCCTATAGGGCTTTGACGTGCAGGGCTGATAATATGAGGGAAAACTCAGATCTGTTCAAAAGGGAAAGGAATTTTAGTTTAGGTAAATTGATGGATTCTGGCTCATCATATTTTACTCCGACAGGTCTAGATAAAAGTGGATTACCCTTTTTGTCTAGACTACCTTAGATAGTGTGATATGGATATAGGTAAGTCTCTTTTTGACCAAGACTGAGTGATCAGAGTCATATCTTTCAGACCCTGATTAGAATAAGCCTACCTCTCATTATAATATTCATTATCTCATTACTTGTTAACCAATCAGAGTTTATTTCCACCTTAGGAACACTCACTCTTCCAAGGGCATATAAGCATTGAATGGGTTCCATGAGGGATCTTTGGCATTTGAGAGTGCTAATGATCCTTTTATTAATTATATATTTGTACAATTAATAAAATGATTAATTACCCAGAAACTATGTCTCTCAAACTTTTTATACATCACACAGCCAAGGTAGGCTATGAAATATTTCTGAAGTTGTTTCATTTCTACACAATATAAAAGAGAATGAAAGGATAAATACTTTGCTGGGATGGCTGGACTTTGAGGCAAATATATAAAAGGTTAAAATGCATGTACAGGCCAAGTATGATGGCATTTCAACTTCAAGTGTTTGCGAATGAATACCTCATTGATGCAGGCACAAGGTGAATAAGTCTATGGGATTTGCTTAGAGGAATGCAGCCTTTTTGTTATGTTACAGAACATCTCCTGGCATCTAGCACTATCTTATGGAAGAAGGCCCTTTGAGGTGCAAAAGTCAGTCAATGTCTTCTGGAGCTGGGGCTTAGCTTTAAGTACAGTCTCTGTGATGAGCATGACATATATGTCAGTACCATATTACCTTTGGCTGGTGGTCTATCCTGTAGGAAGTCTGCTGGAATTGGCGTATCTCCCTGATAATGTGTGATATCTAGCAAAGAAATAAAAGGCAAGTAAAGGAACTTTATATTTTACTTTTTTTTACAAATTCTGGGTGGAAAAACACCCCTTTGTCTGTGGCTGCCTTTCCAGAGCAGTCAGATATCCCATTTACCAAGATGGTGGAGGCCAGTGGGCTGTGCCCCTTTTGCACTCTATACCCCATGTTTTCGTCTTCTTTACTGATCTATACACCTTCAACATGATTGTATGACATCTGTCTCAGGCAAAGAGCTGGCACAGATATACAGCACAAGCTCTAGATGGGAAAGGATGCCTGGGAAACAGCAGACTCTGAGAACCATTCTTCATATGCTCCTTGTTTTCATTTCTATATTCCCTCCAAATTGGTGTTCTTCTGTCACTAGAGTAACTGCATTATTTTAGATTTTTTCAGTGGTAATTCTGCTCAAGGGACCAACTGTGTTTTGTTCCCCTAGCAGTGAGTGAGGATGGGGGCATGATCCCATGACCAAAGTTGTAAAGCATCACAGAGATTTCTATAGTATTGGCAGAAATATGGTGGGAAGAGGGACCTAGGAAACCTGTACAGATAGATGGAAATAGGAAGTCAGTAGCCAGTTTGAGTTCATGGAAAGTAACAGATAGACAGGTAGGCTATACACTAATTATTCAATTGTTCAGTTGTTTAATCATGTCTGACTCTTCCTGACCCCATGGACCACAGTATGCTAATACTGTCCTAGGGGTTTTCTTGGCAAAGATAATGGACTGGTTGGCCATTTCCTTCTCCAGTGGATTAAGGCAAACTGCAGTTAAGTGACTTGCCTAGGGTCACACAGCTAGTGTCCGAGGCCAGATTTGAACTTAGGTCTTCCTGATTCCAGGCCTAGGGCTCTATCTACTGAGCCACCTACCTGCCTATATATAAATTAGATGTAATCAAAGACAAGACTGCAAAAATAGTACCTGGAAAGGGTCAGTGGCTAGGGGGCATTTCTCCGTATTTCATGAGGGGTTCCAGCCATGCCCATTTCACTTACAACTCAGTTCACTCCTTGACATCCACCTTATCCCTGCGTGGGTGGGTAGGAGGTGGTACTATCCTCTTCTTTCCCCTGCCCTTCCCACTTTACAGTTCCCTTTTATGTGCTATCTTTCCCATTCAACCATAAGCTCCTTAAATTTTTGGAGACTGCTAAGTGGCTTAGTGAATAGAGCACTGGGCCTGGAGTCAGGATAGACTTGAATTCAAACAGGCCTCAGATACTTAGTGGCTGTGTGACCTTGGCTAGTCATGTAACCTGGTTGTCTCAGTTTCCTCATTTGTAAAGTGGGGATAATAATAGCACCTGCCTCCCAGGGTTCTTGTGAGGGATCAAATAAGATAGATAATAATTGTAAAGTCCTTAGTAGAGTGCCTGGCACATAGTAGGTCCTATATTCATGTCAGCTATTTTAGCTCTTTTTTTTGAGGATAAGCAATGTCTTATTTATTGCTTTTTGTATCCCTAGGACTTGCCACAATGCCTGGCATATGGTAAGCACCTTAATAAACCCTGTCTGTCTGTCTATATTTCTAACTTAGGATGCCAAAGATCTAAGAGAGTACTGGATAACAGAGAAGGCAAAGGAGAGATGGGAGCTTAAACAAAGAGTCTTTGAAATCTGCCAAACTCACTAAGACAAATAAGCCAGGATGTGTGTGTGTGTCTGTGTGTGTGTGTGTGTATACACACACACACAGAGGGTATACACAACTAAGCTCCGCTGCCAGCTACATGGGAAGGCACATGTGTCCAGAGGAAGCCAATACTGGGGTTTTCATTCTCCCTGGACCACTAGCTTTGGCAGCTAGGGGGCGCCATAGTACACAGAGCTCTGGGCCTGAAGTCTGGAAGACTTCTCAAGTTCAAATCTGGTCTCAGATACTTACTATCTGTGTGACCCTGGGCAAATGACTTTACCCTTTTTGCCTCAGGTTCCTCATCTGTAAAATGGGCACACATTGGAGAAGGAAATGGCAAACCACTCTAGTATCTTTGCCGAGAAAATCCCAAAGGGGGTCACAAAGAGTCGGGCACAACTGAAATAAATAAACAACAACAACATCGTCCCTGTCAAATTCTTTACAACTCCTCCAGCTAAAGGAATCAGCTTGAAGATGCTCAGGTTTCTACCATCCCAGAAATCAAAGGCAAATGGCATTTTTATTATCTTCAACTTTTATCCAATACCATTATAAACTCTACTGAGAAATTCTGAGTGTTAGTAAAAGCACTTTTTTTTAAGTACTAAGAAATCATGTGTGAATTTTTTTTAAAGCCATTCACTTACCATTCTCATTTTTGAAAAATTGACAAGGCCTTCCTCAGTAAAGTTTGGTGTTCCTTCTTCAATAAAAGCCAGATCAGTTAGGTACATTCCAAGATAAGGGACTGCAGGGGGGTTACAATTGCTGGGGGCAGAAAAGGAGAGTTCAGCATCACTATTAATTATTTAGCACTTTTATTTCATTCTATAGTCAACAAAAATGGTATTTTCCACGATAATAAATCACCAACATTTATATATCACTTTAAGTCTTGCAAAGCACTCCATGTACATTCTCATTTGATTCTCATAACAACCCTGTAATTTAAGCACTATAGGTATCATGCTCATTTCATAGATGAGAAAACTAAAGGGTAGAGAGAGCTTGAGGGACTTGTCCATAGTCACACAACTAGTAATTATCAGAGGCAGGATTGAACCTAGCTCTTCCTGACTGAGCCTAGCCCTCCATTAGGCCCTCTTCATTCAAGGAAACTCTCTGAAAACTTCTATAAGACTAGTTATAGCCCATACCTTAATACAGAAAAATCAACAGCCATCGGGGAATCATCAAGTTTATTGGACCTCTTGCATCACAGGCCACATGCTTTGCTTTCCCTCCCCCTCTTTTAGTGATCATTTAAATGGTCTTTAGATGGTATAGAGATCTATTGCCCCACCTTTGGTCAGAATTTACTTTCTTTACGCTTTTTAGGGGACAAACCTAACACTGGCTTTTCCTTTTATTAATCATTCTTCTTCTTTAAATGGATAGATTTCATTGCTAGAGAGATGTCCCAGATAACTTAACTCCCTCTACCAATGCAGGTTGTCACCTTCTCTGCAATTTACAATCTCTTAGAAATTTGCCTATAGCCCTAAGAGACTTGGCCAGGGTCACAAAGACAGTATGTGCCAGAAGCAGGACTCAAACCTAAGCTTTCTTGGCTATGAAGTCAGCTCTCTGTTCCCTACACCATGCTGCCTCTCACTTCTTATCTCTGACATTGTCCAGAGTCATCAAATAGTCCTGAGTTCTGTCTCTAATTCTGTGACCTTGACCAAATCTTAATATTCCCAAGCCTCAGTTTTCCTATTTGTTAACTAGGGTCAGACTTGGTGGCTCTAAAGCATCTTCCAGTTTTATAATTCTGTAATCTATGATAGCTATGGTTTGTTTTCAGTCAGAGGGGGATGAATGGCCCAATCAGGGAGGGCGGCAGGTCAGAGGAGGAGGGTGGGATCCTTCCTCTGTTCTCTGTAGCCAGCCTGTCCTTCTCTGGAGCTCCAGTCCCATATCACCAGCTGTTATCTGACATTTGGCACCAGGCAGCTTGGAGGTGTCTCAAATTTGGCATATCCATAACAGAATTCATTCTCTTTTCTACCAAACCCACCCTTCTTCTAAACTCCTCTATTTCTGCTGAGAACATTACCATCCCTCTCTACTCATCCAGATTTACAACCTCAGCATTATCCGTGCCTCTTACCCTCTCGTTCTGCACAGACAATCAGTTGTCAGATCTTGTTTCTACTTTGATAACATCTCACAATATAGCAGTGCCACCACCCTGACTCAGGCCCTATGACCTCTTGCCTGGACTATTGCATTAACCACCTAAATGATCCTCCAGCCTCAGGTCTCTCCATACGCCAATCTACTCCTCCACACAGTGATTTTCCTAAAGCATAGGTCTGACCATGTCTCAGCCTTCCTCAATAAACTTAAATGGCTTTCTATAACCTCTAGGAAAAAATATATACACTCTGTTTTAAAGCCTTTGTTGTTGTTGCTTTTTTTTTTTACAACTTGGCGCAAAACTATCTTTTCAATCTTAATATATGTTGCTTCCATTCCTACATGCTACAGTCCAGCTAAACTGTCTTCTTGCTGTTCCTTCACATATAAAACACAATCTTCTGTCTGGAAGCCTTTGCAATATTGTAATGCAACTCCTTCCCACCCCCAACCTCTTCCTCTTTGAAACCCTTATTTTCTTCAAAACTCAACTTATAGGGGTCTTTTGGCATTAAGTCTTTCCTAATGCTTCCAGCTTCTGGTGCCCCCCTTAACCTAATTAATTTGTGTTTATTTTGTTACATTTTGTCTATAGTCACATATGTAAATGTTGCCTCCTTCAAAAGAATGTAAGCTTTTTGGGGGCAGAGACTGCTAAGTTTTTGCCTTTAAGTCTCCAAGACAGGACACAGTACTTGGGATGTAAGTTACTTACTAAGATACTTTACATTGATTGTACAGGTAGGAAAAATGAGAAGAAACCTGGGATCAGTTCAGTGAAACTTGAAATCCGTGAACTAAAAACAAATTCCACTGAGCTAGATTGTTTTAGTTGAAAACCACATAAAGTTATTTTTAACAATCATTTTGAAAGGAAAACTAAAGCCAGCTCTCATTCTTAATATGTGATGTGTTTCTGTACTCTGTGGATAATTTTACTGATTAAGAAAACATACTTTTTGAGTGTTTCTCTGAGATTTTTAAATCTTCCTTCTGAAGACACAATCTTCTGAAGTTTGTCCATAAGAGCTTTTGTCTAGAAAGAAAAATATTAACATCCCATAAATCCTTCTGCAGCAGTTATTTCCAGAGCATGAGTTGCCAAATGACAGAAAACACAGAAGGTTCATCTATTTCAGAAAGAAGCAGGCATGCAACAGTGGTACCATGAATGACTCAAACAAGGGTCACAGTGTGGTATTACTCACACTGTCTGGGAACAAGAGCATATAGAGAGACAATTACCTTAAAGAGAGAGGGGGAAGGGAGTAGGCAATTGGAATTGTAACATAGGAAATATGGTTTTCTGATGAGCTGAAATGCTTATAGGAGTTCTAGAGAGAACATGGGATTCAGAGCTGTAAAGGGCCTGAGAGGTCATATGGTTATAGATTTAGAGATTAAAGGGACCAAAGAGGGAGGTAGGCGGCATAGTGGATAGAGTGCTACCCTGGAGTCAGAAGGACCTGAGTTCAAATGTGGTCTCAGACACTTACTACCTGTGTGATCCTGGACAAGTCACTTAACTTTTTGTTTGCCTCAGTTTCCTCATCTGTGAAATGAGTTGGAGAAAGAAATGGAAAATTACTCCAGTATCTCTGCCAAGAAAACCCCAAATGGGATTACAAAATGTACATGACTAAATCAACATAACAACAACAAAAAGATGACAATGAATGCAGGTCCCACCTTTTATAGATGAAGAAACTGAGGCTTAGAGAGAGATCAAGTGACTTGCGTAGGAGTTACTAAGCAGCTGAGTTAGAATTTGAACTCGGATCTTCCTGACTCAAAGTTCAGTAGATTTTTCAAGATGAACCATTTGAAGCATGTCACGCTTAACTATTTTTGTATCCTCAGTGCCCTGCACATGGTAGCTGTTTCATATTGTTGAATACAGATCAAGTTATTTCAGAACTGTAATCACTTATGATGTTGTTCAGTTGTTTTCAGTTGTGTCCAACTCTTTGTGATCTCATTTGGGGCTTTCTTGGCAAAGATAACTGGAGCAGTTTTCCATTTCCTTCTCCAGCTCATTTTAGGGATGAGGAAACTGAGGCAAACAGGGTTAAGTGACTTGCCCAGGGTCACCCAGCAAGTGTCTGAGGCCAGAGTAGAACTCTGGAAGTTGAGTCTTCCTGACCCCAGGTCCAGTGCTCTATCCACTATGCCACTCAGCTGCCCTGTGATCACTTATATTCATCAACAAACTGTAACCTGTTGTATGTTTCTATACATTATCATGGCATCTGATATAGGACAAGCATTTTCATCTATATTTTGCAGAAAAAGCTAGAAGAGAGTTCTCTGAACCAATGTGAACCCATTCTAAAACAGTTAACATTTGGAAATCCTGATAGGCATCTCACTAGTCCCAAGCCTAGCTTCTGTCAATGGCAGCTCTAAGGGGATGTACCAACCTTGCAAATGAACTGCTGCTGCTCATTTTATTTAATGACCAAACTTGCCTGGAGCACCTTCAGAATTTCAAGCAATGTATTCAATAATGTTCTTGTTAGGAGGCCAGGGCCCATGTGCAGTTTCTCTTTATCTCCCCAGGCACCTGCATAGTAATAGTTGGTGGAATCTGATTTTGTCAGATTCTCCTTCCTCATCACCTGAAGCGCCTTGAGCCACCTCTGCCTTTTCCTCCAAGGTACAGCTCAGTCATTACCTTCTGCATGAAGCCTTTCCTGACCCCAGCTGTTACTGCCTCCTTCTCCAATCATCTTGTACCTATTCTCTTTAGACCTATTCTATACTTATATAATGTTGTCTCTCCCATAAGTACATATGTTCCAGGTGAATAGGATTGTTTCATTCACTGCATTTCTATTCCCAGCACCTGGCACATAGTAGGTGCTTAATAAATTTATTATTAATAAATTATTGATTTTATTACTAATTATTAGTATTATTACTTAATGATTACTATTGTTAATAAATACTTGGTGATAGATTGAATTTATATAAAATTAAGAACCAGCAATTTTATGTACTTACACATCAGCCATACTTTAAATCAACTCTATGGTAAACTCCATGAGGACTAGAACCATGTTTTAATAAAAATATATGTGTGTGTCATGTCTGTGTGTGTGTGTGTATATATATAAACCCATAATATCTGTGTATATCTACATATATATATATATATATATATATATATATAGTATGTGTATACTTTATAAAAGTATACTTTATGTGTAAGTATATATTTTTAAATTTCCCCAAAGTTCCTTTCACAAGGAAAGTGTTGATCAAATATTTGTTGAATTTGAATGAATTGCATTTTTTGGAGCTATGCTCAAAGGGCTATAAACTATGCATACCCTTTGATCCAGCAATACCACTGCTAGTCTATACCCCAAAGAGACTTTTTTAAAAAGGGAAAAAGACTTATTTGTACAAAAATATTGATAGCAGCTCTTTTTGTGGTAGCTAAAGATTGGAAATTGAGGGGATGTCCATCAATAGGGGAATGGCTGAACAAACTGTGGTATACGACTGTAATGGAATATAATGCTATAAGAAATGATAAGCAGGATGACTTCAGAAAAACCTGGAAAGACTTACATGAACTTATGCAAAGTGAAGGGAACAGAAGCAGGAGAATGTTGTACACAGTAATAGCAATACTGTACAATGAAGAATTGTAAATGACTTAGCTATTCTCAGCAATGATGATGATCCAAGACAATCCCAAATGTTACCCGTATCCAGAAAAAGAACTGATGTTATCTGAATATGGACTGAAGCATACTATTTTTCACTTTCTTTTGTTCAACTCTTCTTGCACAAGATGACTAATACGGAAATGTTTTACATGATTACATTCATATAACCTGTTGTTTACCATCTCAGGGAGGGGGGAGGGAAGGAAAAAAGGAATAGAATTTGAAACTTAAAATAAAAAAAACAAATGTTAAAAATTGTTTCTTACATGTAATTGGGGGTGAAATAAAATATTATTTAAAAAAGTAAAATAAATTGCTCTACTGACAAAGTTTGATAGTATTCTTAAAGAAGACTGTGAAATGCTGGAATAGGAGCTAGAAAAAAGGGATGAAAATTACCATTAAAAAGCAATAATGAGACTTTGGGATCAGACTAGCAAAGCTATGAGATAAAGAGGGAAAAAAAACTGAGGCCATCTCTATTTACTCAATGACATTTCCTCTCTCTCCCCTTGGAGTATTCCAATCTCAATTTTAGGAGGAAGTGAGATGTACTGCTGCTGGCTTGGATTCTTATTACTTCATTGTATTTAATAAAGAACCAGACTGGAAGAAGACTAATGAAGATGGTGGAGCAGCCCAGTTCTCTCCACAGCTTCTCTAGCAATGATCTAAGAAGAACACAGGACTTAGTAGTGACTGGGATATAGGAGAAACTATAGCAGCTTATTTTTCCAGTACAACCTATAGGCAAGTGACTAGGATAGAAACAAAGGAAGAGGGATGAGCTAGGATCAAAGACCCTGGCTAGATTTCTGAGTCAGGCCAGCAGTGCAGAGTTGACCAAGGCCTTCCCCCCCGCCCCAGCCAGACCAGTAGTGAAGAGGTTTCCTAGAGGGGCCGGGACCACAGATGCAGCCCTCCAGAGGTGCTGGCCAGGCAAGCAACTCCTGAACACTGGAAGAATGAGTTGTTGTTGTTGTTGTTTTTAAAGAGCTATTATGAGGCCCAGGATGCCCAAGTCACAAACCCAAAAGAGAAAAATAACTCCAAAACACTTATAAATAGCCTTAAAGAAAAACATTGTCCACAAGATCAATTAGAATCCCTAGAAGAAATAATGCAAGTGTCAAAAATGAGTTTTAAAATTGAATCAATAAAATGAGAGAGATTGAGGAAATAATTGACAAAGAAATAAAAGCTACAGAGATTTAAAAGGGGAATTAACAGCTTAGCATGGGAAGAATAAAAGCTAACATAAGTAACATACTCCCTGAAAATTCAAATGGACCAAAGAGAAGTTAATGATGCTACAAAATAATAAGAAATATTTAAAAAGTCAAAAAACTTAGAACCTCTCACCCCCAAAATAAGTTATCTTTTATTTAAAAAGAACTGACCTAGAAAATAAATCAAGGAGAGATAATTTAAGAATCACTGGACTACCTGAAAAAAAAAAGCCTGGATATTACATATCAAGAAATTACAAAAGAAAATTGCCTAGATATTAGAACCAGGGGCACTGGTCACTACCTGAAAGACACCCCCAAATGAATAGTCCTATGAATATCATGGCCAAAATCCAGAGCTTCCAAGTCAAAGCAGCTTGGAAAAAAAAGTTCAAGTAGCAAGGAACCATAACAGTTGGGATCACACAAAAATGAACAGCTACCACTATTAAGGAGCACACAATATGATATTCCAAAAGGCAAAAGATATAGGTTTGCAACTGAGAGTAACCTACCCAACAAAAAGGAGTATAATCCTACAGGGGGAAAATGAATGTAAGAACTTCCCAGCATCCCTGATGGAAAGATCACTGCTGAGTAGAAAGGAAGAAGGGAAAGGATACACTAAGGAAAAAAAAGAGAAGGAATGGGAGGAAGGAATTTATCTAATGTAACTGGGAAGCATAAGTAGAAATCTACACAGATGGAAAAGTGGTGAGATCTGGGATATCACTTGAACCTCATGTTTAAGTGATGCAGAACCAGAGAACAATGTGTAATACTCTAACAGCATTCTAAAAATAAATAATTTTAAAAGACTCAAGAAATCTGATCAATCATAATTCCAGAGGACTCATGATGAAACATGGCACCCATCTTCTGAAGTCGAAGGGATGGATGGGCTAGATGTGAAGAGTAAGACACGCATTTTTTGACATGGCCAATGTGAGAATTTGTTTTGCCTGATTATGCATATTTGTTGCAGGGGCTTTGTCCCCCCTACCCCCCTTCCCCTTAGGGAGAAGAAAGGGAGAAAGAAAGCAGATGCTTATTAATTGGGGGGGGAGAATCTAGACCAGCAATAGCAAAGTGAGTTTTCTAGGAAGCTACCTGGGCCTAGGGGTTTGTAGGAAAATATTCTAATCTGACACCTAATGAAGTTGAGTTTTCTTCCCCAAATGTTTTGTGAATATTTGGCTTTAAGATATTTTTCCTTAAAATTATTGGTTTTGAAATGAACAGAAGGAAGATTAATTAGTGTCAAGACCACAATAATTATCCAAGCGGGCACCTCACTCTGGCAATTGCACTGCTCACTTTATTAAATGATTTCCTAATTAGCAATATTTATCTTGGCACTCAGTTTAGTGGCCTCTACCTCTTAAGTGAAAGTCATCTTTGGAATGATGTCTGCAGCTCTTTGTTACTTACCTGTTTAGAGACTTTGGCCCAAGTTTTCTTCAGCCTGTAGATTGCACTTCTATTTAAGGCTGAGGTGATTTCCAACACTCCATTGTAGTTGTGCATGCATCGACAAATATCTGCAACAGCGACCCATTTCTCAATGGAATTGGCCCGGGAGCTGACATCAGCATAATTCATTATCTGGGAGGCCACAAGGTTACTCATCTAACATACAAAGCCAAGAAGAAGTGAGACTTAAAGGGAAGCATTTGGGAAAAACAAGCCTGTTATTTAACACAGACACTAAAAGGAAGATGTAAATGTCTTGATAATACTATTCGCGATGCAACTTTCTGCAGGCATTTAAGCTCCCTACAAAAATTAACTAATGAAACCTCATGCATCTCTAGAGTGGAGAGAGGAACTCTCTGCAGGGCCGGTGAATGCGATATCTTTGTTAATCATATACAGCACACATAGAGTCCCACATGACAGAGAATTAGAATAGGATGCTTAACACCAAAAATAGTAACCATCACATATCCATTGCTTAGCGTGGTGCCTTGTACAAAGCGACCAGTTAATGTTTATTGAATTGCATTGGATATTAAACATAATTTAATTCTTTTGACAATTCAAAAGGGTCTTGAAGATCTTCAAGGTCATCATTATGAACTTCAGTTATCACAGTAACACATAAAAAAGTGCCATTTGGGAGAGATTTCCCAGGCGATAGAGGACTGCTGACCAAGCATGTGACAGGGCAGCCATAAAAGTTGTTATGCTCTTAAAATGCAGTAGGAGAAAGAAACAAAGTATCCAGAATGTGGGAGGTGATAATTTCTTTGATAAGACCATATTTATAAGTTGTCATTCTTTCATTTCAGTTGTGTCCAAATCATCATGACCTCATTTGGAGTTTTCTTGGCAAAGATAACTAGAGTGGTTTGCCATTTCCTTCTCCAGCTCATTTCACAGATGAGGAAACTGAGGCAAGCAGGGTTAAGTGACTTGCCCAAGGTCTCACAACTAGTAAGTATCTGAGGCCAGACTGGAACTCAGGAAAATGAGTCTTCCTAACTCCAGGCCTGGCACGCTCTCCACTGCTCCACCTAGCTGCCCAGTTGTTACTGTTTTGAGTCACATCTGATTCTTTGTGACACCATTTGGGGTTTTCTTGGCAGATAGGTAAAAGGTGGACGAGAGATGGAAAATTACCCAGATCCATTCATTAAGAAAAATGATGACAACTGAGGTCACATATTGCCCTGCTGCGTTTTGATGAAGAGATATGCATTACCAATGTCTCATTAAAGTAGCAAGAATTTTTAATTCAGTTTGGAACCTTCTACTTGGCCACACTTGAATAGCATCAAAATGCTAGACATTTAGTCATGAAACCAAAAGTAATTGCTTCTTTTTGTGCTCTTGGAGGATTTTAAAGTTAATTTTAACATTCCATTACTTCTGGAATATAAAAAAAAATAAAGCATTTGTTTTAAAGGGGAAGGTTTATACCTTCACATTCCTGGAGTGTATCCAAAAGTCTTTTACTTTTTAAGATTACTCACATCATTAAAGTGCTGGCTGGTTTTCATAATGTAGGGTGTTCTTTCATTTTTATCCAATTTCATCCAACCCTGCCCAAGAAATTCTCTGAAAGTTTAAGAAACAAACAAACAACAGCTAAGGTCAATTGACTTTAAAAAATGGTAGATAGGAAAATAATAATGATGATGATACTAGCTCATATTTACATAGTGCCTTACAGTTTACAAAGTCTTTTCATATTATTAATTTTAGTAGTATTAAATGTATCAACAATTCTGGGCCTTGTCCAGGATTGAGATGTCCCACTTCAGTTTTATTGAATACCTTAGATGGTTTCCACTCTAATTTATAATAGCTCACAGCTATAATTGTTCAAGTTTTGCCATCTTGGGGCCAGTAAGAGAAGGATTTTTTCAGTTTCTCATTTTCTTACACAAATGTTTCCCTGCCATAAGATCACTACCGAGACATTTCTGATTACCAGGAAAGACAAAATAATATAAACAAATGAATAGAGGAGTCAAGTAGTATTCCAGAAAGCAAAAATATTCCCATGCAGCTAAGCTTTAGCTAAGTCAGAGACTCAGTTTGAATTACCAAGACCAGACATGCTGACAAAAATTGTCAATTGGGAGCAGAATTTTTTGTATCCTTTCCTTTTACCTGTAAGAGCGATGTCCCACATTCCTCAACCCCAAATAATTCAGCTGAGAAGTTGCTCCATATCCTATACCTTTATTAGGGAAAACAACTCTTTGACTGAGTAATGGAATCCGTCAAAGTGGGTAAACTGTGTATGGACTGAACGAAAGTAGATAATGCCACAAAGGAAAGAAATGTCTTGTAGTTAAATGCAGAGGATTAGCCATGCCCTGGCTTGGATAAAACAGCAAGCCAATTGGTAAACTGGCATTATAATACCAGGACTGCCCCAGAGAGGAAATCATTGAGGGGGAAGTAGGCAAACTCTCTCCTCTTGCCCCTTAACCCTCGATGGAAAGCCTTGTGATGATTGAAAAGTTGGGAGAACTGGACTTTCCCATCAGCACTGATGCAGTATCCTTGGAGCAGCAGGGACAGACAGACGGCAGCATCTACACTGGGAACCAATAGGCACGCTTGAAGATGAACTAGACATAGAAGAAAGACAGGCTCAGGACTCTACAGAGAGCAACACATACCAAAGGGAAACCATGCACACTCCACAAAGGGAGAGGAGTTCCAATAATCAAGAGGGAATGGGAATAAGCATTTATATAGCACCTACTGTGTGCCAGATACTGCACTAAGTGCGTTTTACAAATATCTCATCTGATCCTCATGACAACCCTGGGTGGTACAGACTGTTAAGCTGCCCATTTCACAGCTGAAGAAACTGAGGAAAACAGAGCTTAAATAAATTTTCCAGGGTGACATACATAGCAGGGGGCTGAAACTAAATTTGACCTCAAGACTTCCTGATTCCAGGCCCAGTTCTCTCTCCATTACCCCTCCAGCTGCATCAGGAATTCCGAGCTGCCCCTTTGTCACACGTGTTTTGTAAGCTTGAACCCATTCCCTCCTCCCCCCGGGGTCTTCTGTGTACAAGAGTAGGTCACAGACTTGGGGAGGGATGTTTTTACTATAACATCTCAGTAAATACTCCTTTCTAAAAGATAATTAAGTCTGGCTGGCTGGAATTCAGTGAGCAATAATAGTAGAAAACCAGCTCTTCAGGGTTACTCCTAATTTCTGAGGGGAGAAATAGTTAGCCACCCTTTGGGTACCTGACATGCCAGGATGAGGAGGCACTGGAAAAGTAGGCCCAGATGGGTGCTCTGTCTCCATCAGCATCAAGGCATGCCACGTCTGGTAGAGCTGTGCTTCCCTGGACTGAAACCACCCAGTGTCTAATTTGCCCAAAGCCAAGGTTCTAGTATTTACCATTCCTAAGCCTATGTGCTCGTTCACATGTTTCTCAGAAGCAACTCTTCAGATCCTTAGCTCATGCCTGGCACAAACAGGTGCTGTATAGATACTACGTGATTGAAAATATCCCCTAGTAATCCCCTAACTCAGAAGTGTCAAGCACGCTGCCAAGTGCAGCCCAAATCAGATTAAAACTTAACTGGGAAATATTTAATGAGATAATACAGTAATATAGTAATAGATAATAACGAGATAATACAGTAATATAGTAATAGATAACATTACATTTTAAAACTAACTCAACATGTGTTCCATGCCTAGGTATGGATCAGCGGCCCCTTTTTGTATCTGAGTGTGACAGGATCGTTCTAACTCATTCTCTGCTCTGCCCCCAGGTTGGTCCTTTTGCTTGTTTGTTTTACCTTGGGGCAAGATAGGAGCCAGAACTACAGAAATTCTTGTAGTGATTCAAATGAGTTGAAATCCAGCCTCAGACACTAGCTGCATGACTTGGACAAGTCACTTAACCCTGCTTGCCTCGGTTTCCTCATCTGCGAAATGAGCTGGAGAAGGAAATGGCAAACTACTCCAGTATCTGCTGGCCCAGAAAACTAGGGAAAGATTCTATGGATTCCAAAATCTGGGGGCACATATGGTAACTGCTTATGAAATGACACAAAGAAGTAAGGAGGGACTGGGGACCCTCACGCCCAGCCTCTCACAAACATAAACAGGCTTGGAATACGTTTCAGCAGAATCAAGTCAACATTTAAACCTGTTCCTGCAGAGGGTACCCATGTACATCGGCATGGACCTCGTCAACAACTAGAGGGAAGGGGGCCCACCCAAAGAGCAACTCTACAGGTTCTTGGGGGGTATGGTAGTGGGCACTTACTCATAGGGGATGCTCCTGAACACTATGTGGTCTAACAGTGTGATCTGTTCAGCAAGTTCCATGGCTGACAGGGTTTCAAAGCATTCTGCTTTAGGACAGTCAGGCTGCAAGAAAGCAAGAGAAATTCAATATTAACTACATGAATGCTTCTTTAATCTTGTCATCAGATCATAGAACTTCAGCTAGAAAGGACCTCAGAGTTCATTTAGTATAACCAGCCAATTTTATAGGCATATAAACTGAGGCCTGGAGAGGTTAGCCAGGTTTATACAGAACAGTAATGGATCAGAGTCACAATTTGAACCCAGGTCCTTTTCTCTCCAGTGACAGTGGTTCTTCTGCAGTCCGAGCCTGTCTTCTAACTCATTTGGGTCAGTACTGAGAGCACAACACCACACTTTACTTCTACTATGGCAAAACAGTGGCTTTCAGCTTCCATTTCTGAAAAAAGTAGATTTTTAAGAGCTCAAAATCTTCAAACCCCAACAGTGATCACTTAACATAACAACTCTAAGCCAGTCTTAGAGATGGTGACAAGTTCACCTCAGAGAATCAGCCATACAATAACATCTCATATTTAGAGAAGGTTTAAGGTTTACAAAGTGCTTTCTCTTTTTTTTAATTAAATTTTTTTTCCATTAAATCCATGCTTGTTAATTTTAAAACATTTAATTAAAAAAAGAGAAAGTACATAAACCTCAAAACCTCCCTCCTGCCCCTCCCCCCGAGAAAGACAAAGAGAAAAAAGGACCTTCATAACAAATTGAAACTATGCCTGCCAACATAGTGATGGTCTTTTCAAAGAGCATCCAGTCAAATGCTAACTCAATGGCTACTCTGTAGTAAGAGGTCGTGCTCAGAGACTTAACCTATGGTGATGGGATAAAAATGTGGGCACACTTACTATTTGGATAATATCCTCCATTTTGAGGTGAGTGTCATCCTGATCGTCTTGAGAGAGGGCCCTAAAAAAAAATAAAGACCAAAATGTCCTACATAAAATAGGTGTTTAACTATCAGCAAGAGTGAAAAGTATTTTAAACACCTCTCATTTCCCACCCCTGTTGAAAAGTGTGTAAGCTTAGCCCATGAGGCTGGGTAGAACAAAAGGGTACTCAAGAGGAACTGGCTGTATTAATGTGGTGCTGTTTAGTCATTTCACTTGTGTCTTTCTCTTTGTGACCCCATTTGGAGTTTTCTTGGCACAGATACTGGAGTGGTTTGCCATGTCCCTCTCCAGCTCCTTTTACAGATGAGAAAACTGAGGCAAACAAGGTTAAGTGACTTGCTCAGGGTCACAAACCTAGGAAATATCTGAGGCCAGATTTGAACTCATGAATAGGACTCTTCCTGATTCTAGGCCCAGTTCTCTGTGCACTACGGCACCACCTAGCTGCCCCATTGTGGAGATGCAGCCTGGAGACTGCTCTTGCTGACACTACATCCACCACTACTGAAGATCCAGAAAGGAAAGTCATTGGCACCGTTAAATGGTTCAGTATCAGAAACTTAGAGATGATTTTATCAGTGGAAATGATATCGAAGATGAAGCATAACAGCTTTGACACTGCCCCCTAAGAACCTTGGGGATCTTCCATCTAACTTGGAGCTGAAATATCCCATACACATTATCTCCCCTACTAGAATGTTAGAGGCTTGTGGGCAAGGACTGTCTCACTTTTTGATTTCTATTTAGCACAGTGCTTTGCCCATAGTAAGCACTTAATAAATGCTTTATTCATTCATTCATTTTTCAAGTTGTAAATAAGTCAGTAAGTCTTCAGGCCATTTAAGGGTAGTATGAAAACAGCTCCCAAAAATATAGTGCTTAAAGAATCTCAAAGCATTTTAAACATAATTTTTAAGTGTTATGAAGATAAGATGATATTTGATAATAACCAAGCTCGTCTACATTGCACTGATTAAGCCAGAGAAGATATCTTGATATAGTGGAAAAGCATATAATGCTTGAATTCTAATCCCAGTGTTCCCACTAAGCAGGTGGTGAATTTCATAGTACCTGTATGGGACAGCAAAAGTAAATACACCAGTGAAAGCTCATGAGCAGTTCTGAATAGAGGTGGACCCCAGGTTACTTTGATCCGGGGGCAGCTTTTTCTGACGGGCTCACATATATGAGGAGATGTTCCAGTTGATACAAGTACATTAGGACATGAGGAAGTTCATTTTATGATAAAATAATCTCAATTTGGATGATACTGCTTTTATATGGATTACAAGTCTAACTTATAGGACATGGGTGTATTTCTGGGAAAGCTGTATCTATCAGCAGGCACACCTGCAATATTTGGCTACTGTAGCTTACAAAAGTACTCAGTGAATGAGAATTCATCCAAGTAATGGTGATTAGCAGAGAATGTGACAGAGGACTTTCATCTAAGATCATCTCATCCACATGGTTTTAGCTCATAGTTATTATTATAATATATAATAACACACATAATTATATATAGGAAAGGAATAACATGATATAAATTATGTATTATATAATCAGATATAATGTAATATGTAATTATAAAACATTGTATAATTATATCATACATAAATTATATCATATATAATCCTATACTCTATATAATTCTAATTATATATAAATTGTATGTAATAATATAATTATAATTCTATAATATGCAATAATAGTTATTATTATAAATAATAAAGAAGTTAGGATCATGTATTTAGACCCCGAAGGGTCCTTAGGAAGGGCCACTGAAGCCAATTCTTTCATTTTACAGATGAGGAATCTGAGGTACTGAGAAGTTAAGTGACTTGCCTAGAGTCACTCAAGGATTAAGTAGCTGAGACAGGATTTGAACTCAGGTCTTCTCAACTATCAATCTAGTACCCTATCCACTATACCACGTTCTTATTATGGGAACTATGAGCTAAAACAATGATATTTGGAAACCCTAAAGCCATGAGAGTTTACCATATGGATATGAAATGGCACATCCTATGTGAAAGTCCTCTGCCACGTGCTCTGCTAATCACCATTACTTAGATGGATTAGCATTCAGTGAATACCAATAGCATGATGGATCCTTCAGAAAACGATGACGCACTTGTTTTGTTGTTGGTCTTTCCAGTGGTTTCTGACCCTTCATGACCCCATTTGGCGTTTTCTTGGCAAAGATACTGGAGTGATTTGCCATTTCCTTCTCCAGCTCATTTTACAGTTGAGGAAACTGAGGCAAACAGGGTGAAGTGACTTGCCCAGGGTCACACAGCTAATAAGTGTCTGAGGCCAGATTTGAACCAGAAAGAGGAGTCTTCCTGACTCCAGGCCTGACACTCTATCAAATGTGTCACCTAGCTGCCTGACGCACTTGTTACTCTCAGTCTAAATGGATAGAGAAATCAAAACAACCATAAGGTTTGCTCACAGAAAGGAAGGAAGAACCATTCACTCTTCTTCCTTCAATGGAACGAGAACCTTGTTAGACTTATAGGGAAACGGGAGGGATTATTCTGTTTTTCCAAGTCACCCAAATTGGAATGAGCTGGAACACTGTAAAGGTTCACCCTGAGTTAGACCGTGACCAGGAAGCAAATGGACTTCCACTGTCAAGGCCACAAGTCTAGGGTGCTTCTTCTTCTATATCCAGTGTTTGGACAAAGATGAATTAATGTATTGTTTACTAGGGAAATTCTTGGATGGTCTTCAAGCATAACTACTAAAAGACCAGGTAATCTTCCTACAAGGCCATGGAAGAGCAGTTCTGGATCAGAGAATGAGGAAACAGGACCTTCTGAACGAAACATGAGTAAAATTGCTGACTTAAGGTGCCCTTACACTGTCAGAGCCTTGGAGAAGGAAGCCCAAACAGCTTTTCACACAACACAGCTACACAAAGTTACATACAAATATGCCCAGATGGCCCTCAAGTCTCCTTTCTTTTCCCCCTTTCACAGCCTTATTCCTTAGTCTCAACTTCCTTTCCTTCCACCCATTTCTCAGAACTCTGGCCTTCCGGCTTTTGACCCCACTACTTGTCTGAAATGACTTTCTCCAAAGGGGCCAATGACGCATTGTTACATCCAAAGGCCTCATTCTTAGGCCTCCTTCTTCCTGACCTCTTTTCAATATCTCACACTGTTTATAACTCACTTCTCTGGGTTATGTCTCTCTTCTTTTTCATGATAATGCTTTTTCTTCTATTGATGTGACTGATCCTGCTTCAAAGTTTCTATAGGATCATCAGGCATGGCCTGCCCACTACGCATGAGTGTGCTTCAGGGCTCTGTCCTGGACCCCGTCCTCTTCTCTCTATAGACTCGGTAATCTCATCAGCTACCACAGATTCAGTTATGATTAGTTCTATGCAGATGACTCCCAAATCCATATAGCCATCCCTTATCTGTCTTCTGAATCCCAGTCCACTTTGATGTTTTCTGTGCATCTCAAACTCAAAATAGTCCAATCAATTTTGTCCAAAATAGTCATTTAGGTTTGTATTTTATTTTACATTATAATTATATATTTGTACCCTAGAAGTCAGACATCCTTGACTCTTCACTACTAATTACCACCGACATAAAATCTGTTGTTAATTCTTTGTTTCCTTTTTTCTTTCTTCCTTCCTTCCTTTCTTTCTTTCTTTCTTTCTTTCTTTCTTTCTTTCTTTCTTTCTTTCTTTCTTTCTTTCTTTCTTTCTTTCTTTCTTTCTTTCTTTCCTTTCTCTCTTTCTTTCTGTGAGGCAATCGGGGTTAAGTGACTTGCCCAGGGTCACACAGCTAGGAAGTGTCAAGTGGTTGAGGCTGGATTTGAACTCAGGTCCTCCTGACTCCAGGACTATTGCAGTTGTTAATTCTTGTTGATCCTAATTCCACAAAATCTCTTGCACCTCTCCCTTCCTCTCCACTCACATGGATAACACCCTTAGTTTGGGCCCTTACTGCCTCTCACCTGGATCAACCTCATAATTACTGTCCTTGTCTCCAGTCCCTTTTCACTTCAATGCATTTTCCACGCAGCTGCCAAGCTGATATCATGACATCATAGGTCTGACTGTGCCACCGCCTTATTTGAGAAGTTTCACTGGTTGCATGAAGCTTCTAGGATAACATATAAACTTCTCTCCTTGGCATTTAAAGCCCATCGCACAATCTGGCTTCAACCTATTTTTCCAGGCAGATCACATAGTATTCCTCCTTATGCACTCAATGTTCCAGCCAAACTGGCTGCTGCCCATACACGTTTCATCTCCAAACTTCAACTCTGCTTCTTTGCTCAGGCTGGCCCCTCCTGCCTGAAATGTTCCCCCTAATTTCTACCTCTTGGAATCTATTGCATTTCACTGCATAATTGTCACAGATTTTATGCCAAATTTTTTTGCAAAAAAGTGGGGTGCGACTATTATATGAAGCTTTAAAAAATTATGCCAGTATTACTTAAAATCACTTCTTACTAAACTGTCTTTGGTACAAGATTAGGATGCATGAAATACTCATGAATATGAGTTAAAACTGAATACTGACAATGCACATGGGCTGAGAATTCTAGGCTCCAGGCTCTCAATGCTGCAGGAGAGATAAATGCGTTATCTATATGCCACATTACTGCTCTGTTTACCATTTAAGCGGCATGACAAGCAGAATTATATCATGATAAGATGAAAGGTTATAAACCAATATTTGGACTGAAAAAAACAAAACAAACCAGGGTGTGGTGATTATGCAGTGGTGATGATTATGTGGTAAAATATGGAAATCACGAGCTATAACAGGCTTTTATTGATTCTCCCAGTTGCTAGTGGTCTCCTACCCCACAAATTTACTTTGTAGATTGCTTGTATTTACTGACCTGGGTACATATTATTGTACTCCCAGCTCCTACTCCCAGTAGAATGTAAGCTCCTTAAAGGCAGAGATTTTTATTTTTGTATGAATCCACAGCACCTAGCATGGTGCCTGAAACATACCTGATACACAAATAATCCAAAGG